CTGTCTGGTATTATATAATGATGGTATAATGATGGAATTGATTTGTTTCTTGATCTCACCCATTGGTTCAGCCTAAATAACTTCTTCGCTCTCCTGTCTTTTCTTAAATTGCACCCAAGGGAATTTAACCCTGGGTGTGTGTGTGTGTGTGTCAGGAAACCAAAGGTGGGATGCAAAGGCATTTGCTTCCTGGTGCTGTTTCCCACTGTGCATTCTCAGTGCATTCTCCTTTTATCTAAAATGCATCTCTGGGTTTGGGGATGCGGGTGGCGCTGAGCCTAGGACTTGCCGATCAGAAGGTCGGCAGTTCGAATCCCCGCAATGGGGTGAGCTCCCGTTGCTCAGTCCCAGCTACTGCCAACCTAGCAGTTTGAAAGCACTTCAAAGTGCAAGTAGATAAATAGATACCGCTCCAGTGGGAAGGTAAACGGCCTTTCCGTGCGCTGCTCTAGTTCGCCAGAAGCGGCTTAGTCATGTTGGCCACATGACCACAGTACAGGCAAGAGGGGCCTTCGTGTGGATTTCATCCCCTCCCCCTCCCGGTCATTCTTCCCTGTTCTCTGCTCTGAAATCCCACTGGGTTTGCCAGCTCAGCAGAGCTCCAACTCTTGAATATATAAACCACCAGGTGTGATGGGAACTGAATATTTTAAACCAGGCAGAAAAAAAGAAGCGAGTGAGCAAGCAAGGGAGAGAGAGAGAGAGATGATTGTGTCTCACTCGTCTGTTAACCTATATATATATATACACACACACACACATACACAAGGTTGCACATTCAGCACACAAAATCCTGTTGCATTTGTGTTTTTTTTGCACTGATTTGTGATTATATATTTGCGGTGTTTATATGTTGCGCTTTAGGAAAAAAATGGTTCTCAGAGCAGCTAACAAGAAAAAAATCTGTATTGAGTAGGTCTCTGCCTTCAGACTCGCAAACTTAAAAAGATACAACACACAAGTAACAACAACAACAACAATTTATTATTTGTACCCCACCCATCTGGTTGGGTTTCCCCAGCTCCCAACAGAATATTATAAACACAATAAAACATGAAACATTTAAAACCTCCCTAAACAGGGCCGCCTTCAGATGTCTTCTAAAAGTTGTTTATTTCCTTGACATCTGATGGGAGGGTGTTCCTCAGGGCGGGCGCCACTACCAAGAAGGCCCTCTGCCTGGTTCCCTGTAACTTTGCTTCTCGCAGTGAGGGAACCACCAGAAGGCCCTCAGAGATGGACTTCAGTGTCTGGGCTGAATGATGGGGGTGGAGACGCTCCTTCAGGTATATAAGAAAGAGGAAGGGGGAAAGCAAGTTCAAGCATAACTTTGCAAAGTTTCAGCTGACCTCAGTGGTAGTTCTGGCTGCCTCGTCCTTGATGAAGGGCAGTCCCTTTCTTGAAAGGCTCTTCCACATAAACACCCATCCACCCACCCACCCACTCACCCACCCACAATCAGATATCTAGGAGAAAAGCTGACATTGTCCAGGACAGGAGGAGAGGGCAGCTCCTGCCGCAAAGTTCTTCTCTCTGGCTTATGGCAGGGTGTGCACCTAAACCACTAACCTCTGCAGCCTGTTGGGCATCTGTGTGTGTTGCTGTGCTGTGGTTGAAGAATACAGTGGTACCTCGGGTTACATACGCTTCAGGTTACATACGCTTCAGGTTACAGACTCCGCTATCCCAGAAAGAGTACCTCGGGTTAAGAACTTTGCTTCAGTTATGTATGCCACGACAGCAGCAAGAATACTTATTGCGAAGTATTGGAAGACACAAGATCTACCCACTCTGGAAGAATGGCAGATGAAGGTGATGGACTATATGGAACTGGCAGAAATGACCGGCAGAATCCGAGACGAGGGAGAAGAGTCAATGGAAGAAGATTGGAAGAAATTTAAAGACTATCTACAGAAATACTGGAAAATTAATGAATGTTAGAATGATGTTGGATAAAAAGTTAAGTGGCTTCTAGCTATAACGCTATAAGGAATATGAAAAAATGGATTATTAACAGGTAAAAATTTAATGTTATAATATTTTAAGATCAAAGACTAGGATAAACAAAGAGGGAAAGGATTTGCTGAACTAATAATTTGAATTGGAATACAAAAAAGGGAGGTGTGAGGAGGTCCGGGAAACAAGCATATGAAAAATAAGTGATGGAAAGATGGAATTGTTTTTTAACTATTTTTATTTTGTATTTTTCTTTTTTCTTTTTTCATTTTGTAAAATCTTAATAAATATCTTTAAAAAAAAAAGAACTTTGCTTCATGATGAGAACAGAAATCGTGCTCCGGCAGTGCGGCGGCAGCGGGAGGCCCCATTAGCTAAAGTGGTGCTTCAGGTTAAGAACAGTTTCAGGTTAAGAACAGACCTCCGGAATGAATTAAGTACTTAACCCAAGGTACCACTGTATGCAAAAGTCTCCCTTGGAACATTTCTCCAGATTTGTTTACTAGAGTGATGAGCCTTCATCCTGATTTAGTTGCTCACTGGTTATGCATCTTCCCATTAACCATCCCATGCTTTGCAATGTCCACCCCCCCCCATTTGCAAAAAGTTTTTTTTCTTTAAAAAAGAAGAAGTGGATTTGTTATGGCAGAGTGCTCTAACCCACTTGAATTGTGCAAGCCTACCTTTTCAGCAAAATGATGAGGGTCTGAAGGTGGCCCAAGTCCAACTGTCCCGTTTGCAAAGCTGGCCTCATCAATTAGGGTGAGATTGATTCATTTTTGGTTGGAGCCCAGTAATAGGAATGAGGACGGGGTAGTTTAATACAGTCGGCTGGTATGACAAATCCGTTAGATAAAGAATTCAGACTGCAGAATGGCTGAGCCTTCGTGCCTGATGGATGATCGCGGTAACCAAATGACTTATCACCCTTACTGGTAGCTTCCTCCACGCTACTAGAGGGAAGAAGTGTCCTGCCTTGTGCAATAGATTTACTTTGGACTGCGCAGGGTTGGTCTCCCTTGCCTATCAGAAAAGGGAAAGAGAAATGAGGTCAAATTGGATGGTTCCCTGCATTCCTTCACAAAGGCGCCGCCCAGGGGTATGTGGATGAAGGCTTGTTTTTTGGTTTGTTCCTCCGTGCTTATCGGGGAATGTAGAAGCTAATCTCCTAACGACCTCGGCCACCGAGTCTTTTTTGATAAATCAGCCAGAACAGAAGCAGAGTTAATAAATAGGGATGGTGGCACCTCTGTTCCAGACATCAGCGACACACTCGATCACTGAGCTGACGAATGGCACATAATGGAGCCATTAAGGACTGTGCTGAGCAATGGTGCAGAATTGCATCGTTGTAGGACAGTATAAGTCAGTGGTGCAACAAAATGTTGCCGTATGGTGTGCTGTTGTTGAGGTCTCTGGCTACTCCATCCTTCCTCCTAGTCTCTCCTCCAAACCAAAATAACCAGTCAGCGTTCTATGGTCCCCAAGCATGCTCAGTCCTCATTGGGTTGGTTTCATTCTACCTTGAGTTATTTTCCCTATAGGTACTTTTTGTGGTTCTGTAAAACCTTGGGGTTTCCCAGATTCCTATTTTGCATGGGTGGTACCACATGAGTGATTACTTCTCCTACCTAGGCAGTTATCTTTCCACAAGGGTCAACATTGATGGCAAAATCCAGGATTGCCTGAGCTCTGCGAGTGCGGCTTTCTCCCGATTGAAGTGCAGAGTGTTTGAGGGCCGGGACATTCGCAGGGAAACCAAAATGCTTGTTTACAAAGCTATTGTACTACCAACCTTACTGTATGCTTGTGAAACATGGACCACTTATAAACGCCATCTCCAACTTCTCAAAAGATTCCATCGACGGTGTCTCCGAAAAATCTTACACATCACTTGGGAAGGCAGGCGAACTAATATCAGTGTACTGGATGAAGCAAAGATCACCAGTGTTGAAGCAATGATTCTTCAACATCAACTTCGTTGGACTGGTCATGTTGTGTGGATGCCTGATAGTCTTCCAAAGCAACTACTCTATTCCGAACTTAAAAATGGAAAGCGTAATGCTGGTGGGTCAACAAAAGAGGTTTAAAGACTGTCTCAAGGCAAATCTAAAAAAATGTAGTATAAACACCAACAACTGGGAAACACTGGCCTGCGAGCGCTCCAGTTGGAGAACAGCCTTTACCAAAGGTGTCATGGACTTTGAAGATGCTCAAACTCAGAATGCAGGGGAGAAACGTGCTAAGAGGAAGGCACGCTTGGCAAATCCACACCGTGATCAAGTCCCACCCGGCAACCAATGTCCCCACTGTAGAAGGACATGTGGATCCAGAATTGGACTCCACAGTCACTTATGAACTCACTGTTAAGACCATGTTCATGGAAGACAATCTTACTTGGCTATGAGTGATCGCCAAAGAAGAAGAAGAAGAAGAAGAAGAAGAAGAAGAAGAAGAAGAAGAAGAAGAAGACCACATGAGCAATAGAACGAAGGCAGAAGCTCTCAAATTATACACTAGGTTTTCTCTCCAGATTTGCTCACTCTGGACAACATGTCTGCTATTTAAATGATTTTGATGATGATGATGATGATAATAATAATAATAATAATAATAATAATAATAATAATAATAATAATATTGTATTGTGCTGTTCAGCCCCTCGGGATCTTCAAGGTGCCAAAGAGCAATCCGAAACCACATCATAAAACAATTTTCACAACCATTTGCTCCCAAACTACTGTGGTACACTCCACAAGGAGAGATCCCATTTTCAAGTGGCCCTGGAGGAGGTTAAAAATTTAGAGCAATTGCCTGCCATCTTACAGAGCTTGGAAACCCTCCTATATGGAGCAGAGATTTTCAGCTTGCCTGGAGAATTGGGGCACCTCTAGATGACCTGTTCACTGAGCATTCATCCTGATTTGTTTGCACACAACGTGCGTGGAAGTTATGCTAAATCTCGTTTTGATTGGTCATCTGTTCTGATTTTTGTGTGTGGAGTGAGCAAAAACCACCCCACATTAATCTTTATTTGTTTGCAGATTGCGTGTCTTCTCGCTCGTCATTTGTTCACCCCACAATTTTCACTGCATTTCCCTATCGTTTTTCCAAATTGCAAAGAAGTCGATTTGCTGCACTGGAGTGCTCTGGAGGGTAAGATTCGAACCAATGGCTTCAAGCTTGCAAGAAATGAGATTCTGACCAAACCTATGGAAGAACTTTCTGACAATAAGAGCTGTTCAACAGTGGAAAAGTCTCCCTCCTTCCTTGGCAGTTTTTAACCAGAGATTGGATGGCCGTCTGTCATTGGATACTTTAGCTGAGTTTCCTGCATTGCAGGGGGTTGGACTAGATGACCCTTGGGTCCCAATTCTGCAATTCTATGATAGGAGCCTGGGTGCATCCACACCACAAACTTAAGAAACTTGTAAAGTACTTCTGCTCTCTTGGCTTGCCTTAAAGAACTTTGGGTATTGTTAAGTCCAGTCAAAGGCGACTATGGGGTTGCAGCGCTCATCTCGCTTTCAGGCTGAGGGAGCCGGCATTTGACCACAGGCAGCTTTCTGGGTTGTGTGGCCAGTATGACTAAACGCTTCTGGCACAATGGAACACTGTGACGGAAACCAGAGCGCACGGAAACGCTGTTTACCTTCCTGCCACAGCGGTACCTATTTATCTACTTGCACTTTTTGGCGTGCTTTCGAACTGCTAGGTTGGCAGGAGCTGGGACAGAGGAACAGGAGCTCATCCCGTCGCAGGGATTCAAACTGCTGACCTTCTGATCAGCAAGCCCAAGAGGCTCAGTGGTTTAGACCACAGTGCCACGTGCTCCGCCGATTAGGAAAGGAGCCCACCATGGCTGCTTTGAAGTGAGTGTCTAGGAGCCGAGAGATGAAACCCTAGATTTCCCTCGTCATGTCTGTTTTGAGTTTACTTGCCTGCTTGCAGATAAAAGAAGTATGTAATTACAAAATTCACATGATGGAACATTTCCCCCATTGCACAATAACAAGTGATTGCTAGTCCAAGTATATGCATAGTGTATAGCAGGAAGGGAACCCACCCCCCCCACCTTCCTCTCGTGGTTTCTCACCTCTAAATTATTCTTGTAGAGCGGGATCTGCTGGCATGTGTGTTGGAATGCGAATCTGCTCAGGGGTCTAGAAGCACACAAAGCACGCATGCATCTACTTGTGGAGGAAGTGTGACTGCAGAAGGATTGCAGCCTCGAGGCAATTTTTGTAGCAAATGCAGATTGGAAACTGACTCTCACTTTCTCCTTGCAGAGGCAGCATCTGGTGGAGAACTTGGAAGGCATTAAGAGCTGTGTGTATTGTGTACATGATTGTGCATTTGGGTTGGGTAACTTCACCGGCTGCTACATTACCTATTAAGAGCAATAAAAGAGAAACCAATGTTGCAGCGTGAAGCACTTTCCAGGGGCTGCATGCCAGTGGCGGGCAGTGCCAAAGGCAAAAGTGGGTGGAACAATGAATGTAGATTTGTCTTTGTCCAGTAGGCTAGTGTCTACACACATGCACCCATACAAGGACACATTCCAGCCAGGAAAAACACTTTGGGCCAGGGAGGAATGTCTAGCCTGGGGAAAACTCTGGGGGCCAGATAGAGAGGCAGGGAGGGCCACATTCTGGCCCCAGGAGCTGCAGTTCCCCCTTCTGAGGTAGGTGGAGCATTGCACCCTCTCACTCCCTGTTTGGAAGCAATTACCCGTTTCTTGCTTCCGTCTAGCATCTTGCAGTTTTGCAACTTAGGCATGTCTGGAAGACGGCTCTGAATGGTAAATTAGCTTAACCTGATACCTCTGTGATTGAGTTGGCCTTCTGGGGCTTATAGATCAAAACAATTGATATCTAGACTGTTTAAAGTTCAAGCACATCTGCGCTCTTGGCTCCGTTGAGCCGTCTCTGGCTGCGGAATTCTGCAGAAGCAGCAGGTAACAGATTTTCAACATGGCTGCCAGGATTGGAGAATCCCAGTGGCTTGCCAACGCAGTTTGGGCATTAGTCCGAGGGACAGAGATCACTTAAAATACAATATTAAGACAATGAAAGAGGTGAGGGGAAAATGCTTCCCAAGGTCACAAGCATTTAGTTAGACAGGAGAATCCTAACATGTAATAATAAGTTAATAAGCCTGGGTTGGGAGTGGAACTCTATTTTGCTATTACAGTGGTACCTCGGGTTACATACGCTTCAGGTTACATACGCTTCAGGTTACAGACTCCGCTAACCCAGAAATAGTACCTCGGGTTAAGAACTTTGCTTCAGGATGAAAAGAGAAATCTTGCTCTGGCGGCATCTGCTTGAAGTCTGGGAAGGGTTAAGCACCAGTAGGGGGAGTCCTGCTGATGCACATCAACTAGGAACTTCCCCGGGGTCATCGCTCGGGGGCGTGCCTTGGGCCCTCACCTCCATAGGCTTCGGACAGGGCCAGGCCCCGGAATCCTTTATCGAACTACCCTTCAATATGTGGGGCAGGTGATGGCGCTTCCTCCCCTCTTCCATCTACAAAACGATACCAATGCCTAACCGCCAATACCCAAGAAAGTTGTGACGATTTGCTACGAGGTAGGCGAAAACCAAGTGGCTGGTGCCAGTTTGCCAAGTGGAAAAATTCCTACCAGGCCCCTCAATGGCGACCAACCAAGGTCCATAGCAAGGTCAAGGAACGAAAACCTTTAAGGGTGGGAGGGTAGGAAACAGGAACAGCTGATAGGCAGGAAAAGATGGAGATCCCTGGCCGCGCCTGCGTTTAAATCCGGCAGGCCACGCCCCCAAAGACAGCCGATTGGCTGGCCAGGGGGTGACACAGCAGGGGATTCCCCTAATCGTACAGGGGCTGGGGCCGTGACGCCTGCAATCCCACCTCCTCTGCAGGGTGGAAGTGGCTTTCACCCCTGGAGGCACATTTCTTCGTTTCACGAGACAGACGGATGCCAACAGTTATCTGAAGCCTGTGCTGTGCGGTCTTTTTAATCCAGGATGGGGAAAACTCTGGCCTATGGGTTGGGAGAATCCCCAGAACAGCTTGGGGGGGGATGGAGATGGAGTGGAGAGATTGATCCATCTGGCAAGCGGAAATGCTTGTGTTGATGGAGCGAAGGTCTTAGTGTTTATTTTATTGAGTTCATTTCTATACCGCTTTATATTTTTAAGAAAACCCTCCAAACGGTTTACACCATATTAAAACATCAACAAATCAATCAGGAATCAAACATTTCTGAAGGAAGTCCAATATAGTGTTTGCAGTCAAAGCAACATAATTAACAGAAAACTAAAATATTATCCTAAAGATTTCAATTGCAAAGGAGGTCAGCTACAGAATACATATTTAACATAAACAAAGTTAACGAAAAAAATCAAACATTTCAAAACAACAACAAACCCCCACCATTGCTAAGTGGAGTCAAATATAAAATGCACATTTAAAACAGCATAATGAACAAGAAAATAAAATAGGATAAACAAGACACGGCTGTTTGGCAGGTGCAAAAAGATGGGGCGAAAGAATCCAATAGTTAGGGTTTGTTGTCAGACATAGCGATGTCCCTCTGGTCTCACCAGGGGCCTCTTTGGTAGAGCTGGTGAGTGTGGGCCCCGCCACCTAGGCCAGGTGGAAAGGGCCTTGCAGGCAGTGGCGAAGCATGCCAATTGGGTACCTGGGGCGGCGCGCATGCCCTGTGCCCATGGGCAGGGCCAGCTGCCTGTGGGGCGGGGCCAGTCATCGTGGGGTGGGGCCAACTGGGTCAGGACGCTCCATGGGGCCTCCGAGGAGTCTGCATGCCTCCTCCCACTCAGCTACCCTACAGCTGAGGCATTTTGTCACCCCCCTCAGTGGTGACACCTGGGACGGCCCGCCCTCACGCACACCCTTCCTCCGCCCCTGCATACAGGGAGCAGCCTTCACGACTCTCAGCTGGGCGCTGGCATTTAATTCCACCCAAAGTGTCCTGTTCATTATAAATTACAAGGTAAATTACAATGTGGTATTTAAAATGTCTTGCCATGTACTTACTGTACCCCACCGTGGAATCCATTAGATGAAGGGTGGCTTGGAAATACTTTAAATAAAGTAATGCAATCAATTCCTGTTGGTGGAGTAAGTGCTTGAGACCCAGTGGTTCTTTGGCCCAAGATGGTGTACATTCATAACTTGAGTTGAAGTAGCTTCAGGTTAAGCATTTTCGGGTTGCGCTCCGCGGCAACCTGGAAGTAACAGAGTGCGTTACTTCCGAGTTTCGCCGCTTGCGCATGCGCAGACGCTCAAAATGATGTCATGCGCATGCGTGGAAGTGGCGAGTCGCGGCATGTGCAGACGTGGGTTGCGTTCGCTTCAGGATGTGAACAGGGCTTCGGAACCACTGTATTACAATTCGTCATAATAACACTGCCTTTGGACCTTCGTCATTGGAGGACAGCAACATCCATTTGTATTCTGTAACAAGGCCCAGAGGTTTCCCAAAGACTCATGATTTCCACCTTGCGCTTAACTTTCCGAAGTTCAAACACCCCCTTTGGAGATGGGGAATGCTAAGGGCACTGAAATGCCAGAGGCTGGCCTATGGGTAGAGTTTCAGTTTTGCAGCACACTTGGGGGTGGTGAAGGCACTTGGGGGGGTGTCTATCCTTTGATGCTAGATGGCTCCGAGGAAAGGATCGGTCAAAATGGAACGACTAGGTCACGGATATTTAAGCTCCGTCCAGCATATGCTGTCGCTCCCAGATGGGCTTTATTGCTAAATGTCCACATCTGGCTAGTTTGAGAGGGTGCACACAGACCGGAATCTTATTACACTATTGCTGCAAATCTCAAACATGCTTATCAGATGGTAAATCCCATTGAACTTGACCCATAACCAGACATTTTATGCTTGCGGTGCATAAGCGTTTGCTAGGTGTATGGGCATTCTATAAGAATTTAAATTGAAAGGAGACTTAATATACTGAGATGTGTTTAAATTATAAAATAATTGTTATATGATACTTTTAAGGTGCGCGCGTGCATACACACACAGAATACTTTTATAGTTATTGTCAGGGAACTGCCATCGGAGCCAGGAGTGGAGGCAAGGCTCTCAAGCGATGCCGGAGAAGGGCCCAGCAGGGAGAGAGGGGACTCATCGGCCAGG